TTGCCCGTGATAGACAGATGGTTTATCCAATCTCCTGCCAAGTATTTTTTGAAAGTGTCTGCCCTTCTTTAAACAGTTTCCAACGACGACAAACAAACCACCATTTAACAAACCATCTGGCGCAGTCAGGTTAGTAACTGGATATCACAGTGGAAACATGGACGTGTATACCAGGTAGTGTAGCGTAGGTGGTTCTTCGACCCAAATCAGTCGACTGAGTCACATATCTTTAGAAATGGAAACCATGCTGTTCATACGCAGCTTGCTTATTTTAAGTAATCCGCAGTGTACTGATTCAGACAGGGAATGAAGCAGAGCTAGGGATGTGATGAAACTGACTTTGACTCACTTGAAAATGATCCAATCACCAACTTTATACAAGCTCATAATCTTGATGATCATTTGGGGACCATGATCTTCATCATTAGGAACTCTGGAGGTCTATTACCTTATAAGCTGCATATTTTGTTAATGCTCAGCAAAAGCTCTCATCTCATTCTGTAACATACTGTACTCTCCTGTCTAATATCTCCATGACTGTCACGCCCCCTTGACCTCTGATATTCGTCAAGGGCCGCTTTAGTTTAAAAAGTTTACTGTCTAACTTCATGTCAAAACACTCACTGTCTAGTTCTGTCACAGAACACCTCTGCTCATATGACACATTGTGAGAGAAACCACAAATTGAACACAACAGTAGCTTTATATAGCAATTTCAGGTGAGTTGATTATGCTAATGATAAAAAAAGAGTTTGGTGAATCTGACTTGGAACGCTTTGAACACAGAGGTATAGGATAAGAATATAAAAATGTTCTTGCATGAGACCTGATGCTTTTAAAAAATCTTCAATCTGAGGACAACTGGATGTACACATTTTATGTACAATTTTGCCAATAGCTAAATCATTAACCAAAGTTCTCAAAACAGTTCTTTACACAAGTAGCTATACAAGGCATTTGACTAAAATAATAGTAGAATCAGAACAATGTGATTATAGAATAACCAAACAAGATCATAAAACCTTTGCTAGTTTTCGATACACCTTTCTGTCTGTACCAATAAAGTATTAACCGAGACTCACTGTGATTGGATGTCGGGTCATGAACTGGGCAGCTTTCATTGGCTGGCGGTTGTAGGAGACCCAGAGCTGAACAGATGAAGGTTCGTGGCTGCCAAACAGTTTCTGGAGAAGCAGAGGACACAGACACAAGAGACAGCACAGATCATTCAACTACTCATCAGTTATGTGAAACCCTTGAACATTTCTCAGGCAGACTAGACTTGACTAGAGTCTGACTAGACTGACAGACTAGACTAGACTCACTCTGTCACTGAAGAATGAATGAGTTAGCACAAATCTTGTTGACCAGAATCCTCTAAAACACATGTATTCAAGCACATCTAATGATATTTGGTTCTTTGTTCGAAGACACCAAGACGTTGATGAGCCAGCGAAGTGTCTCTCTGGAAGTCCTGACTTTTTTTTCTACATGTGCATATATGTGGGGACACTTCTGCCACATGCAGAGTAAAGGTGGACACCCCTGTCCCCCAGAGCAGGGTGAGGTTGTGGACAGGGAGGATAGACTCTGGTTATCTGGACTGTCCGGATGATTTTTTTCTTAATATCCCAGTAGTACAGAGGTCGAAAGCTGAGTCAGAAAACATTAAACGTCCAGACTTAAAAAGACTCCCACTGGGGTACAAAAATATGTGTGTGAGTGAGACAGAGAGAGAGAGAGAGAGAGAAAGAAAGAAAGAGAAAGAGAGAGAGAGATGCTTCTACACACCTCCCACTGCTGGTTTTGACAGAAAATTGTGCAGAAATGCAAAACATATTAAGAGCTCTGCTAGTATTAAGTTCTTATGTGAGTGCTCTGATTAATACATGTTTCTTGGATTTTGAAACAGTAGCCCTGAGGGCTTATATCCACATAGCGTCTAAATGGACACATACCATTATGTTGTTGCTATTTAGTCTTTATTAGGCTATTGCTTGGTTAAATCAATGGGTTTTAGCTCATGAAAACAATATACAGTCAGACACACAGCCAATGGTCAAATAGTTTTGAAAAATCTTGAACAATTTTATTTTATTACAAGTATTATTGTAGTATTATATAAGTATCTTATTTACAATTATTGCCAATGTTAAAATCCTAAAAAGCAGTATTGTTTTCTTTTTGATTCTTCAGAGCAATCACTGAGCACTGGTATTGTGTCAGTAGCTACCTCAACAAATACTTGCTGTGCCTTAAGGCTTGGCTACGCTTGCAACTAACTAGTTCATAAGATATGTCTTCCTAACAAACCTAAGGGCTAATGTGTTTATACCTGTTCCAAATGGCCACACTCAAAGGCTGGGCACAAAGAGAGAAGATAGCCATGGACACTTGTGGACACTTAGTCTCTCCTCTTCATCCTCCTCAATCATATTGCACTATTCTAAAGACAAACTAAAGAGAGAAAGAAATCATTTGGATGGTTAAATGGCCTGTTCCCGGTGAAAATTGGGCGACCCCCCCACCCCCCTCAGGCCGACCAAAAAGGCGGAAAACCAACCCTTGCAACTTTTGGGACTACAACGTCACCAGGTAAAATAGAGATACGAAAGATATCGCCAGAGACAGCAAGAAACGAGTGAGAAAACACGAATAACATAAATCGTATTACCCCACCTCGTCACGCTACTTGCTCACATGAAACAAAGTTGCCCGGCGAAAAACTCAAATTGAGTTACGGTATTGAGTTTTTTTGTTGTGCATCAAAGCGAAGTTATTTTTTCAACAAACAACAAAATTGACTCAAGAACCAACTTCAGTCATGGGTTTGTTTTAGATACATAGGTTTTTGATATCCGTTTTACAGTGTTGCAAAAGTAGTCATTC